TCACGCCGCAATCCCTTCTCCTCCATTCTCCTCTCGGGATCTTGGGCATGCACGCACACGCGCCCGGCGTGAGTTTTAAGCCACCGGGGCTGGGACACGAACCACGGTCGACTACGTGGGAGTCTAGCGACATAGCCATTACGCTAACTGCTGGTTCCCAAGGGCAATAGGTTCTTATCCAGAATTTCCAGAAAGAAACGTAGTCTTCTCAACACCTTGATTTAAGGCCATCAAGATCCATTTCTGGTTGCTGATCTCCAGAACAGTAAGCTAATAAATTTGTGTTGTTTAGGTCATGGTATATGGTTCCTTGTTACAGCAGTAGTATACAACCACAGGTCTTGGGTTAAATCTTTTCATTCAAATGGCTGAGTGAGTGTGTGTGGTTTTTTTTGGGGGGAGGGGAAGTTTTTGCTATAGGGCATGTGTGCTCACCAGACAGACAGAGAGAGACAGAGAGACAGAAAGCGAGAAATCACCCCTCAGGGGGCATGGCCACACAGCAATCTCTCCTCCTTTCTCCTCTCGGGATCTTGGATGTGCACGCACACGCGCCAGGCGTGAGTTTAAGCCACAGGGTCGGGGATGCGAACTGTTGACTACGTGGGAGTCCAGTGACATAGCCATTGCACTAACTGCTGGTCCCTGAGTGAGTGTGTTTTAACAAGTTACTTTTACAATGAAATAAGGCCTCTGAGATGGTGCTTTGTACTTTCTTTTGGAGTCATATAGTGGTCTGTATATTAGATACTACAGAAAGATCATGATAATTCTCAAGAGCATATATGGAAGTAAAAACTTTACCATGAATACTTAAGGTATGAAATTTCATTCTAAATACATCCTCATCTGTTTCTTTATATTAATTAAATTTATTGACATAAATCCATACCAGATACAAGTGGTATTTAAAATACATTGTAAATTGCCTAAATTTTCTCTTTAATTACTTTTTGGGTTAGGTAAATTAATTAGTTTGTTAAGACTCTCATGATTCCTTTTCCTTTATCCTTAGTGTTAAAAATTTAAAGTACGAAGTTGGTTATTAAATCACAGTGGTAAATTATGTTGGGGAGAGGAAACAAAGACTCTTTTAGTATTTTGGAAAGTACAATTAGGTTTCATATCAAAGAAAATGACTATGTCTTAAGGAACAATCCTGTATCATTGACTTAATGGATTGGAAGTTTAAGGAGGAGCTTTTTAATTTTTCTCGAGTGAGTTTCTGTCTGTGTCTGACTAATCTGCCATTTGTATGACAGGTAAATATAAGGCAGGTCTTCTCTATCCTACTTCTACCATGTCAGTAGTTGCCTTTGTCAACTTTGTGATAACAAAGATCACATCAAAGGTAAAGGTCTCTCAGCTGTAACCATGTAATAGAAAGTCTTAATGACCTAAATGAGAGCTTCTTTACTAGTAGTCTGCAAGGTGGAGTTTCAGTCTTCTCTATTTCTGATTTCAGGAAATTAGTCCTTTTTTGGAGTGTTTAGTGGTTGATTCCATGAGTCACAATATTAGGATAATCTTTGAGTTCCTCAAGTGAGTTATGAATGGATCATCAATTGTGTTTTTAATTACTCTTGGAAAGGCTTGTAATATAATTTTAATGAAGTCACATGCTTTAATAGAAAATTAAGTTATGTTTTAATTAACATGAAGTATTTGAACATGAAACATACATTAACTTTATAAAGATAATTTTAGGTATAAGTGAAATAATTATTTAAGATTATCTTGAAATTTTCTTAGGGTACATAGATCTAAGCAAAGGTGCTTAAATGATTTCTTTTCCTCATTTGAAGGTGGATAATATATGAGTCCATTAAATGTTTATTTGTTTGTAGTTGACATCACTAAATCTGGGAAACAACCTTTTAGAAGCAGTTCCAGAAGAGCTGAAATATCTTGTGTCTCTGAGGAAGCTCCATTTATTTGGAAACAGGATTTGTAGATTTGCATCTGGAGTATGTGGTAGGTTTGTTAACATTATATATCAAATTTAACCCCTCATATATAATAATAGACTGAAATGAAACATGAAAAAAGTGTTTTATATATTTTAATCTTTTTGTTGGGGATATTTACATACCGCTCTTGACATGAAGATATTTTGCAAACAACATTTGTTTTTTGTTATTTTATTGTATAGTTATTTACATTTAGAACTAAGAAAGTAAGTGCTGGTGTTAATAAATTGTCCTGTCTTCAGACTTTTGAATAGGAGGGCCCTTTTTCTGAGCCAGAGAGAAAACTTTCTGAAAATCCATTAGGAAAAGCTCTCCACAGTTCTCCTTGTTGTTTTCACTTTTTATTCTGTCTCACATATTAAATCATAATCTTTGATCAAGATGCTAAATATAAATCAATTTGGGGAGAATTTAAGAGTAAAGACATGAGATCCAATAAGTGTTTTTTTTTTTTTCTTTATGTTTCCCTTAAACTAATAATTTCTCCATGCAATGGGACACTTTTCTTATTTAAAATAGATATAGCGGGCTTAAAGATAGATGCAATAGGAGTCAAAAGGTGCTGTGGTGGTTAAGGGTTAAGGGTGTTGGACTCCCACATGGCCTGAGTGGTAAATTATGTTTGGGAGAGAAAACCAAAGAATCCTGGTTTGAGTCCTGGATCTGGGGGCTTACTTTCTCACTTTCTTCCTCTTTCCC